GCCACCATGATCTGTTTTTATTTTTTTTAAATACATGTTTGCAGTACATAATATTTACATTTTTTGTGGGGACTTGGTACATGTACATAATACCTGAGGAGTTCAACCCTCAAAACTGGAAAAATAATTTCTATATATGAGAAAAAGCATTTTTTTTTCTTTTAAGAGCTTAAAGATGCACTGAAATTGAATATATAGTTTTGTGTTTTATATATTTCTTTTCCTGGGAAAAGGATCAGTTGTCTTAATAGTCTCAGAGAAATTCATGATTCCAAAAAGTTTAAAATCTACTTGGAACAAGGAAGGAGAAAAAAATTCACCCTGCTGAGAGATGGCATTCCTTTGTAGTCTCTAAGTTTATCTGTTTTAATTTGCTTGAAGAAATGCCAGAGAGTATGTATTTACCTTGGGATATTTTCATTATTGCTGATCTTTTCCTGTGCAGGGAAACTGTAGAAACAAGAGATTTCTGTTTGGAAATATATAGTTCAGGTGATCCAAGACCTATGGCGTCATGTTTGTGGTTATTGTTGTGTCCCCTCTCGCCCCATGTTTAAAGTGATATCAGTAGTTGTTATAATATGTGAAAAATTCAGCAGCTTGAATTGTCACCGCAGGTCTGAGTGGGCATGTAGGCACTTGTGGGTTATTCGCGCTCTTCTGAAGCTAGACAGGATTGCTATGAAGCACAGCGACGTGCAGCTGTGTCCATTCTGCTATTTCCTCTATCAGCCAGGAAGGGGTTCTGAATGAGCAAAGTGGTGGGAACGTTTGTTTAGAGCTTTTGTTTGTTTTTGTGGTGCTGGGGCTACAAGCCCTGAACCACTGAGCTGCGTCCTCAGCCCCAGATGTTTTTAAAGAGTGGCTTGAGCATCTGCTACCCAGTCTTTAAAACAGCATTGTATCCATGGCACAAAAGGGACTTAAAACAGTGAAAATTTCCCAGACACAGCGCTTAGTTTGCCAAGGGAGCATCCCTTTCAAAGCAGGCCAAAAAAACAATTACATTTTCTTATTTATTCTTAGTTTTTGTTTATAGACTCAGACAGAAATGTTGAAATAACTTAGACCTCCTAGTCGCTGCTCTTCTGCTGAATGAATCCCACGCCATCTGCCTGGTTTGGTTGTAGCCAGTGAACACTGGGAGGCGCAGTGGGTCCTGGTGCCTGGCAGATACTAAGTAGTTAGTAGATGTTTTCTGAATGAATGATTTATCAGTTTTTGACTTACTTTCACTATAGCCTGTACTCCTACGTAAAGTCATCTGTAGACTAAGGTTCTGGAACAAGAAAGTTCCCTAGAAGCCTCAAAAGATGGAATGTCCTGACAGGAAAGTCTAGGGCAGTGGTGCTAAGCCTGGAGTTTGGGGAAGGATTTAAGGGGTCATTGAACCTATTGAAGAAAATAGATAGTCTGGGGTAGGCAGAAGAATTTTTTACGGAGAAAACGTACTTTATAGATCCATCAGCTTTTTTGTTGTTTTGAGACAGGGTCTGGCTTTGTATTCCAGGCTGGCCTTAAACTCACTATGTAGCCCAGGCTGGTCTCCAAATCACAGCAATCCTCCTGCCTCAGCCTCCCGAGTGCTGGGATTGCAGGCGTGCACACCCGGCAAGATTCATCAACTTTCCAAATGGATCTGTGGACCCCCAGATGACGAAGAACCATGGCTTCAGTGGTTACAGATTTGAAGCTTCAACAATCAAGAAAACAGTGGATCAAATGGCTCTGGAGGGAAAGTAGTTGACTTTATTAGGATGCTTTTACCTGTGATAGAAACAAGTTCAAACAAGCTTATGTTAAAAAGGAAATTATTGGTTTAGGTAATTGGAAAAAATTAGATAGATTTTTCTTTCTCTTGCTCTTTGTTTCCCTCTAGGTTGTCTATTCTCAGGCCTATTCTTTATCTTGGAAAAAAGATACCAGTCTGCAGCATAAGGCTGTCAGTGTCCATGTTAGTGTCGGAGTGTGCATTCTGCTGCTGTTACAGAGTATCTGAGGCTGGCGTTCTGAGGGTTGGGAAGCCCAGATAGAGCACCTCCCCTCCAGCTTCAGCTCGGAGAGGAAGGGAGAGTGGTTTTGTAGGAGAGAACACTAGGGGCTGCCCTACTTGTTAACAGCCTGTATTTGCATTAACTAATTCAGCCCTGCAGGAGGGAGAGAACCCACCTGTACAGGAAGGCTTTAATCTGTTAAAACAGCCTAATCACTTCCTAAAAGCCCCCCACCTTCAGCACCATTACCTTGGGAATCGAGTTTCTGCATGAATTTGGGCAGAGACCGACCACATCCGAGCTGTCACAGGTAGCACAATGTTTTCTTAGTAACTGGCAGATGTCCCAGAAAGGCTCTGACCAGTTTTGTCTCCCCCAGGGAGAGTCAGCAGCAGTCAGGTTACATGGACTGCATAGAATTAGCATGCAATCGGGAGAGGAATTTTCCCAAAGGAAGGCAATGTGTGCAGACCAAAACCATGTCCTCCGCAGTGACTGAAAAGCGAGGACAGATAAAGTAGGTAATGGACAGAAAATTACACATTAAAACCAGGGTTCTCGGGAGGCTGAGACAGGAGGATAGCTGTGAGTTCAAGGCTAGCCTGGACTACATAGCAAGATCCTGTCTCAAAAGAAATAAAAGGAATCTTGAAAGTTGCCTAGAACGTTCCCATTTTACTGGGTATTGGCTTTGTACTGGGCTAATGTAAACCTTTTACTGGTATCAGTCGTAACCTTTCTGTGACCCAGGATTAGCATGTAAGATGTACAGAAGCCCAAGACAGAGACTGACGAGAACGTGGGGTGTGTACTGGTTGTGAGCAGCGGCGAGGCTGACGGCCCCAGTGGGACTGTGTGTGAGAGCCTGCTGTGTGCTGTCTGGGTGCTTTCCTCTGGGAACTCAGCAGAGTGGGATAGAAACTCCTGCCCTCATGGAGCCCACATTCTAGTGAGAACACCGTAATGAGACATTACTCCACCACGTGGGTGCTGGCTGGGGTGCACGTCTTGAAGAAAAGCGGGGAGGGAGATAGGGAAGGGCTCACTGAGAAGGAGCTGAGGAGGGAGCGGGATGTGGGGGGTCGGAGGAGGAGGAGTCCAAGTGCAGTAGCAGGAGCCAGCAGAGAGGCTTGCAGTACTGACAGAAACAAGGTCAGCTCAGAGCCAGGGAGGAGGGCAGAGGAGGTAAAGGGGAAGGCAGGGAAGATGCAGGGGTCGTGGGAGCAGACAGCGTGGGCCTGGGAGGCCTGGGGAGAGGGCTGTGGAAGCAGTGAGGCTGGCCAAGGGTCTTTAGCAGAGCAGGAAGCAGTCTTGGTTAAGTGCATGATACAGGAGCTACAGCAATAATCTAGGCAACACAGATGAAGGAGTGGCTGAGCTGAGAAAGGTGTGCTGGGGGACTGGGTATGAGGCATTCCTGAAGGCTCAAAGCTGATTCAGGAGTCCTAGGCCTGAACAGCCAACCGCAGTAATCAAGCGAGCCAGAGAGGTCCGGGGAGGAGGTTTCCACGCGCTCAGCGTAAGGGGCAGACGGAGTGGCCCGGTGGGCTGGTGGACATGCAGATGTGAATTCAGGTCTGGGCTACTGACAGGAATTTTGGAAGTTACCAGCATAGAGTTAGTATTTAAAGCCATGAGAATGGATGAGATCCTCAAGGAATAAGAGTAAACAAGGAAGAAAAGATTTGTCTAAGGACTGAGCACACCAGCGGGCAGTTGGAAAGAGGAGGCACCAGGAAAGAGGGTCAAGGAGGGCAGCTAGTGACAAGGAAAACAAGGGGAAATCCTGGGAGAGAAGAGGTGCTGGGGGAGGTGATCCTGTCCTGTCTGGTGCAGCCGATCTGCTGGGACAGGGACTTCTGTGTGAGGATTGCCTTTAGCCGTGGTCTCTGTGGTGACGAGAGTTTGAGAAGCTTAGACTTGGCTGGTGATGTTCCTAGGCCGTTCCCTTTTCTTAGGCATTTAAACCCCATGGTTCAAGTCCATCTCCAAGACTGCTTAGTGCCAATTTTAATTTTTAAAAAAATTTTTTGAGCCAGGGTCTCCGTTTGTAGCTCAGGCTGGCCCTGAGCTCACTATGTAGCCCAGGCTGGCCTGCATCAGCCTCCTGAATGCTGGGATTACAGGCATGCACCACCACTCCTGGCTCTGCTTATTGCCAATTTAACTTATTTACTTAATTGTGCTAGGGATCAAACCTGGGGCCTCACACATGCTACAACAAGTGCTCTGCCACTGAGCTACAGCCCCCTCCCCCAGACTGCTTAGTAGTCAAATAATTATTTAGAGTATATTGAAATATTCTACCCTTGATCTTAGCCAAAAGGCCGAGAAGCAATGTTGATTATTCTATCACTCTTTTCTTTGCTGTTGTACATGTTACAAATTAAAAATTATGTTTTGAAGTCAAGATGAATATGGAGGTATAATAAAGGATTACGTATATGTACTAGGATATATGTATTTCCTTTGGAGTACCTGTTTCGTGAAGGAAAAGCATCTTACTAAACAAATTATTTTTGAAGTATTTTTGCTTCTGTATTTGGAGTGTTTAAAACAATTTTTAAAAGAAACTAAAAATCAGCCTAACTTGGTGTGGTGTTGCATGCCTGTAATCCCAGCACTCAGAAGGCTGAGGCAGGAGGATCAAGGAGAGTTCAAGGCCAGCCTGAACTACAGAGCAAGACCCTGTCTCAAATAAATGCATAAATAAATAAAAATTTAAAAAATAAAGTAAAAATTGGAAAACTCTTAATTAAAAAACCCTACATTCATGTATTTGATATGTCTCTTAAGTCATTACTGCCAAGATGTTATTGTTGATGAACACATGACTTGAAAATACAAAGAATGATTTCATAGCTGAGCCTGGTGGCGGTGCAGGTCTGTAATCCCAGCACTCCTTGGGTGCAGTGTTGGGAAGGGATCCAGATGTACGCTGAGCTACATCCTCACCCAAAAGGTTTCACTTCTCTGATGAAAATGTATATTGTGCTTCTTTATTAGAAATTCATTGAATTTGAAGACTCTCAAGAACAGGAAAAAAAGGATTTACAGACCCGAGTGGAATCTCTAGAATCTCAAACAAGACAACTTGAACTCAAAGCAAAAAACTATGCTGACCAGAGTAAGTAAGATTTCCGCCCCTCGTACGTCCTGGCAAAGAGCGGGAGTGCAGTGGCCCGGCCTGACTGATAGGGCTGCACATGCACGGTTGGAATTGTTGTCCCAGACTGGAGTGGGAGACCTAGGTACTGGGCGTTTCACCCCACAAGTACTCGGGGGTGCGAAGTGGCTGAGTCACAGATGCTCACGTCTTCAGTTCACCCCCACAGCTGATTAGGTGCAGTAGCTGCCGTGCAGGTGTGTGCGTGTGGATTGCTTCAAATTTGGATCAAGTACACAAAGTTCCATTGTTTCTGCCTTGCTTTGAAATTTAAAAATGTTGAAGGAATTCGAGCTTTGAAGTATGTATACGAAATGACTGAAGTCCCTTTTTTGTTCCCTTCTAATGGAAAAGTAAGAGCATTTAGAGGAACAGAAGTTTACTTTTCAGTTTTGTTTCATTTTTAATATAATTTCATGTTATTCTTTTTTTTTTTTTTTTTTGGTACCGGGCATCAAACTCAGGACCTTGTGCTTTCAAGTCAGGCAACAGAACCACTGAGCTAAATCTCTGGCCCTATTCTTGACTTTCAAAATAATTGTTTCAAACCTCAAAGATGATTTCCCCCTTTTGGCTAATGAAGATGGACCAGATAAAGTCACAATTAGAAAAACAGTGAGACACTTGATGACTTGTTTTCACATCTGACACAGGAAGGCAGAGCATCCTCCACTCTTCCTTCCTAGCTGTGAACTTTTGCAGTGCAGGGGAGCAAGAGGTGGCCAGCGGGGACTCCCCAGTCCTCTGCCAAGGCTGCACAGCGATCCCTGCTGTTAAGGGGCTGCCGTTCACCACAGGCTTGGGCTGTGTGGGTGCTCAGTGCACCCCCAGAACCGGAGAGGCTTAGCAGAGCTAACGGGAATCCACAGGAGCCTCGAGCTTTGGCATCCTAGCACCCTAAGAGCTCCTGCAGTTGTTACACAGTGCTGAAGAGCAGATGATGTTTGGTGACAGAGAAACCAAATAAGCCATGTGTCATGTCTTCGTGTTTTTAGTCTTGGAGTTACCTAGAGTCCTTTCCCTTTTCTTGGTTAGCACTGAATACGCCAAGTGACTTTATGACCCTGTTGCAGGCTCTACTCTGGAAATTGGAGGGCTGGGAAGTTCGTGCCAGGCTCCACAGTGCACACATGTTGTAGCCCTGGAGTCACATTATTCCGGGTGCCCTCATCTAGAGAAGAAGTTTGGTGGTAATTACAAGGTTTTAATATTTTAAGATTTGAGCATTTCTCTATTTAAGGAAGAAAATTTAAGGCTGGGCATGGTGGCATGCACCTATAATCCTAGGGCTTGAGAGGCTGAGGCAAGAGGATTTCTGGGAGTTCAAGGCCAGCCTGGGCTCCATAGGTAGACCCTGTCTCAAAAAACCAAAAAAGGGCCCGGGATTTAGCTCAGTGCTTCTGCCTCCTGCCTCAGGACAGGGTCCTGAGTTTGATCTCTGGTACCAAAAAAACAGAAAGAAAGAAAAAATGTAGCTATTGAAGATAATGTTTTGATCCAGATTTGATTGTGCTTTCATATCATGATTCTTTGGTATTTTAGAACCAAGCACTAAAGGCACGGTTGGCAGAACTAACCTTCTTTTCATTATTTTAACATGTTAGAGTTTTTTCCTTGATTTCTAAGATATCAAGATTTTAGTAGAAAATTTTAACTTGGAATGGAATGGCTAGAGTAAAATGAGTAAAATTACATTAAGTAATCTGCTTCTGTGATAGGAAAGATATTGGAGGAAGAATTATCTCATGCTTGAAATTACATTTTTGAAGTCAATATAATAAAATTAGTTTTTATATTTAAAGGAGATACTGCTGCTTTTTTTTCCCCACAAAAGTAACTAAATGGAGTAAACTGCTAATTTTTTCTTAAGCGCATTAGCCATTTTATAACCAGAATTTAAAAATCTGCTTCTGTGCTAGTGAATGGTAGAGCACTTCCCTAGCCCTGGATTCAATCCCCAGCACTGGAGGGCAAAGAAACAAAAACAAGTGTAAACAAAACAGAGTAATTTCTTTTTTCTTTTTCTTTTTTCTTTTTTTTTGTGGTACCAGGGATTGAAATAATTTCTTAATAAAGTCATGACTTCAGAAGAATATTGAGTGTCTCAAAATTTGTCTTCTTAGTGTTCTAGATTTGTTTTTCAGTCCAGTGGATCAGATCCAGCATTTTTGGAATTCTCATGTTCAGTGGTATCATTCTCTCATTTCCCTCTCTGAAAGTATTGGTCATTATATCTTCATTTTAATTCAAAGACTTTTCTCCCCCAGTACTGAGGATCAAACCCAGGGAGCACTGAGCTACATACCTGACCTTTTAAAATTATACTTTGAGACAGGGTCTTGTATTGTTGCCCAGGCTGACCTGGATCCCGTGGTGTCTCCCTGCCTCAGTCTCCCAAGGAGCTGGGATTACAGGCATGTGCCACTGTGCCCAGCTCCATTTGCCTTTGATTAGAAAAATTTCCAAACATATAAAAAACGAGAAGTACATTTATCATCTGTGTGCCCACCGTCTAGATTTAGCATTTCTCTGTCTGTATGAGGGTGTGTGGGCGTGGATGCACTGTTCTTGGCTCTGGAGTTGCAGCCATGGGCAGATGGATGAGGGCAGTTGTGACTGATGTGCTTAGGACACACATCCTTTTTCTGTTTTCTCTCTCTCTCTTTTTTTTTTTTTTTGGTACCGGGGATCAAACTCAGGACCTCGTGCTGTGGTGCCACAGAGCTAAATTCCTGGTGCACATCCTTTTTAAAACATAGCCACGGGCCAGGGATTTAACTCAGTGGTTTCACCACCTGCTGCGCAAGCGCAAGGACCAGAGTTCGATTCCCGATACCAAAAGAATTTTAAAAAATAAATAAATAAAACATAGCCACGATCGGAGTCCAAGTTCTGCTCCAAAGACCACTTCCTATGTCAAAAGGGGAAATTTGGGTTTGTAATTATTTACTGTCTGAGGAGCAAGAAAAAGTAAAGAAATGGGAACTAATTAAAGGACACACTTCAGGTTTTTGATTGTGTAGAATTTATCAGGTTGTGGTATGATTTAACAAATTGAAAAACTGAGTCTATAAAAATTACATTACAATTTTGTGGTAATGTTTGATTTTTGAGATTTCTGGTGGCTCTATTTTAAAAAATTGAACTAACATGAAAATTGGGGGCAGCTTTTTGGCACCAGGGATCCAACTGGGGACCTTGAGCTTGCAAGGCAGGTGGCGGCACCACTGAGCTAAATCCCTGGCCCGAAATAGTTTTTATTTTTCCAACATGAATAAAGCTTTTTAAAGCATGCTGTATAGTGTTTCCTATCATGGAGTAACAGTAACCCTCTTGATAATTAAGATCTTGTGAACCTTAAAGATATGATGTGAAAAATGAAATAAGGTTTGATTTGAGAAAGTTTAGTTTGGTACTTTTCTTTTTTGGGGGGGGTTACTGGGGATTGAACTCGGGGACCTTCCGCTTGCGAGGCAGGCAGTGGAACCACTGAGCTAAATCCCCAGTCCCCTGTTTGGTACTTTTCAGGTAATCAATTCTGCCATTCATAATATGACAGTGACGTCAGGAAATATTTTTGTATTCATTGTTTCTATCATATATTCACTATTTTTCTATTGCAAGCCAAATGTTTTTTGTGGGGGTTTTTTTGTACAGGGGTGGGGATCAAACTCAGGACCTTATACTTGTGAGGCAGGCACAGCGCCACTGAGCTAAATCCCCAGCCCCAAGCCAAATGTTATCTTAAGTGAGTTGGTAAATGTAGTCATTATAATATAGTTAAAAATATCAAGAGAAAGGGAAGGTTAGGGAGGAGGGAAAGGGGATTGAAAATGTTAATGTACTAACTCCCCAAAATGATTGTAAATGTCACATGTTGCAAATATGTACCAGTAAAAGAAAAAGGCAGATCCATTGAGAGGAAAAAAATATCCACTGTGCCTGGCCCAGTGGTGCACATCCATAGACCCCAGCCACTCAGAAGACTGAGGAGGAAGAATTATGAGTTGAAGGCCAGCCTGAGCAATCTAGGAAGACCCTACCTCAAGATATAAAATAAAAAGGGCTGGGGACATAGCTTAGTGGTGGCGCACCTCTGGGTTTGATCCCCAGCACTAAGAAACAAAACCAAACCTTCCTGGGGCCAGGGATTTAGCTCAGTGGTTTTTGACACCTGCCTGGCGAGCACAAGGTCCCGAGTTCAATACCCGGTACCAAAAAAAAAAAAGCTAACCAAACCTTCCTGCTGTAAGATGTCTGGCATTTCCCAGTGGTTGTGGTACAGAGAAGTAGGCTGTGGACTTTTGGTCAAAGAAATCATAGTTTTGTTGGGGAGAAGGAAAGGAGGAAGTTATGTGGGTTTTTTTCTCTCATATGTGTCATGTTTTTACATCATTGCAGTTAGAGTATATTTTTTTTTGGTACTGGGGATCGAACTCGGGACCTTGTGCTTGCGAAGCAGGCGCCGGAACCACTGAGCTAAATCCCTGGCCCCAGTTAGAGTATATTTATAATTTTGTGCTTACCCTTAAATGCATCATGAGGCTTTTCCTGATTGCATAATCATTATTGTCTTTTTAATGTTTGCATATATTGAGCATCTGAAGTTATCCCATCTATTAGCAATTCCTGTTTTTCTTGGGGAACTGTGCTTTCTTCTTTTCTCTGAAGAGAATTATGTATTGACCATTTAATTTTTATTTTGGGTACCCAGAAACAGGCCAAACTTTGGAACAGCTTGTTTGGATCTTACCTGGTTATGCATAATTAAATTCTTCTCCTCCTAGATCCAAGCATGTATAATGGTCTTAAAAGTTGCCTCAAATCCTTACGGGATGAAAGGAATCAGGATAAAAATGAATGTTTAAAAAAAAAAGGGGAGGGCCGGGGATTTAGCTCAGTGGTTCTACCGCCTGCCTCACAAGCACAAGGTCCCAAGTTCGATCCCTGGTACCAAAAAA